CTCAGGCACCACCACAGGCCGAGGTCCTAGCCTGCTCCACCTCTCTGGGTGTGGCAGACCCACTTTTGTCAGCCCCACTCCAATCCAAGGAGAGGGCAGTGAGCTACACCAGGCCAATCGGCACCACAGCCCCCTGCCCTCAAGCTGAATAGTCATATGATCCAAGCTCTCCACAGGACTCTTATTGGACCCCTCAGCATTTTCTCTGAGATGGAAGCACTAAAAACCTGAAGCTTCTGGAGCCTCCCTTGAGAGGGAAAAGCATTAGGACTGGAAGGAGAGAAGCCAAGCCATGGTGACATCTTTGAACTCCAATTTCCCTGTGCCTGAAGCCAACACAACTCCTAGACTTCCTAGCTAACAAGTCAACAAATTACCCTTTTATTTGCTCTAGTCACTTTGAGTTGCTTTTCTGTCACTTACCACCAAAGGGATCCTGTCTACGAGCTCATGTCTAACACTCAATTCTTATCAGTTCTACTCCCGTGAAAACCTCCTGTGGCACAACCTGGCCTGCCCACAGGCCAAGAGGGGCCCCTCCTGCATCCTGGAAGGCCCTTCAGCACCTGGTGTCCCGGTTTGTGCTCTGGGAGCATCGCTCCGGAGACAGCAGTGCAGCCATTCTGAACGCTAAGTCAGGTGTCAGATGTGACAGGGTCAGGTCCCTGAATATTGGACACACTCTTTTCTTTAAAAAAAAAATTATTGATTTTTTACAGAGAGGAAGGGAGAGGGATAGTTAGAAACATCGATGAGAGAGAAACATCTATCAGCTGCCTCCTGCACACGCCCTACTGGGGATGTGCCCGCAACTAAGGTACATGCCCTTGACCGGAATCGAACCTGGGACCCTTCAGTCCGCAGGCCGATGCTCTATCCACTGAGCCAAACCGGTCAGGGCTGGACACACTCTTAACTAGCCCTCTGAGCCGTGGTGTCCTCATCTCATAAGCATGCGTACGAACACTGTCTCAGGGCAGTTAGGGACGATGCATGTGCTGCGCTTAGCACAGTGCCTACCACAGCTCTAGTAATATTTTTATTACTAATCTGGCTGCAAAGGCCCCCAAGATACAGCTGGAGCCTTCAGGTTTCCTCCTCATACGGTCATTTGCTTGGCAAAGAGGGCACCCCGCTATCCCAGTTGAGGGGCAAGGGGTGTGCAGGGCATGTTGGGGCCTCCATCTTTGGTAGAACTGTCTGTCGTGGCTGCTGGTGCAAGCCCAAGTCCCGGGCCTCCGCAGAAGCCAGGTGCAGGCAAAGGGGCTATAAAATTTTCAGAGAAACTTTCCATGGGAGCTATTAATGCATCATGTGGTTTCTGAGAATAGGAACAGGCTGCGCGCAGCTCCGTGCACTCCTTCAGTCAGCCAGCCTCGGCATTTCCATGTCAGAACTCAGAAAGCAGATTAAGCTGATTCTTGCGTGACTGGAAAGCAAATCTCAGGCCAGGTTGGAGGCATATGTGCGAGGGATGCCGGAACCAACCTAACGTTGAAAATAGCAGCACCCCTGGGCTTAGGACCTTGTGCTGCAGTGACATGGGGCGGCTGCCTCCGAACATAGGCTCCATCACAGGAGGGGGCTGAGCTTGAAGATCTGACCACTGTACCCTCTACTGCTTGCCATTCCGGAATCACCTATTGGTGACTGAAAAGGACCGGCTGGATGGTGACTGGCACCTGAGCCCATACCTGAGCCATTTGGAGCAGCATCTCTCCTTCCCACGGACCCTTGTACTATACTCAGGATCCTGTCTGCAGCCAGATCTGTCGGTTGAGAGTCGGCCGGAAGCTGAAGCCCATAGGGCTCCCACCAGCCCTATGCTCCCAGGGGGGCTGAGCCCCGGTGGGGAAACGGGGTGCGGCCTCCTCCCTGGTGGAAATCAGGTTTGAGATCACTGTTCCCAGGGTCTTCTCCATATGAGCACTGACAAGGCAGCTCCAGGGCAGGACTGGGGCTGGCAGTGCCACCACCGGAGAGGAGGCTTCAACACCCCTAAGTGAGGCTCAAACCAGGAGGCCACATGCCAACAGCTGGGCATCTAGGTGGGCATGGCCTCTGGCCTCAGATGCTCTGAGACCCGCAGGTGCTGGGGTCTGTGCCTGAACTGAGCCTCACCAAGAGCCCTAAGCAGGGGATCCTGGAACTCCCCCCACAGGTCACGTCCCCTCCTCAGGAGAGCTCTGTGGTATATGCTGAATGGCTGATGAGTGCCAGCCCCCAGCGTGTCCCAGCCAGCCAGTGCCACCTCCTCCCGCAGGGAGACCTCCTCAGGGATGGAGACCAGGAGGAATCTTGCTTCTCGGGGTGAGGCCTCTGTTCCAGCCATGTCCCCGCTTCCCTGACATGAGGGCTGATGTTAATGGTTCATGAGCTGAACAAGGCTTGGAACGTACTTTGCCAAAGAAGAAATGACAACATACTTTCTGTGGGAGTAGAACTTTAAATACAAGTCCACACAAATGGTATGACTGTTGCAGACCCGGTGTTCAGCTGTGTTTCAAGCTCAGTGTTTCCTCCCGGAATGGATTGGCCGGCTGAGCGGTGTGTAGGCATTTCAAGGCACCAGAGAACACAGATGAAGACAACAAACCTTCCTAAAACAGAACAGACTTGCTACATTCTTCTGAAGGGAATCATTTCACAGTCAGCCTCACATTTTCCTCTGCAAAGAACATTTTAACAAACTGAGTCCTCCAGGAGGACTTATGCAGAGATTAAAAAGCAAATCCATGCAAATCCTATATAATAAAAGGCTAATGTGCAAATTGTCCCCTTGACTGGGAGTTCAACCGGGAGTTCGACCAGGGTTCAGGGCTGGCCGCAGCCCCTCCTCCCGGCCAGCCCCACCTCCAGTTTGCCTCCGCCACCCCGATCGGAGTGGACCGGCCGGACCCCACTCATGCACAAATTCGTGCACCGGGCCTCTAGTGAGTAAATAAAATCAGACAATGGCATCTCACCAACCCTCGCTGCAACCCTGGGTGACTGGGCTGAGGGCCAGATTTCTGGGCCTAGACTGGATCTCACTCCCCATTGAGAGTGGACCCCACTCATGCACAAATTCGTGCACCGGGCTTCTAGTGAGTAAATAAAATCAGACGATGGCATCTCACCAACCCTCGCTGCAACCCTGGTGGCTGGGCTGAGGGCCAGATTTCTGGGCCGAGACTGGATCTCACTCCCCACTGAGAGCTAAGGCCCTTGTCCTTGGACCTTTTAGAGATCTTGGACCCTAGGCCACTGCTATACTGAGGTCCTCCCTCTGCACAGGGTACCACAGGAGCCCGTGGCTCTGAGAGAACCTGCCAGAAGACCACCTCCCCTTAAGAAAGGATGCTGCAGCTCGGGCCGAACCTGCTTGCTTGGGGAGGCCTCCAACCTGCCTTTGGGCCAGGTCCTGCACCAGAATGTATAACTGGAGAGGATTGGAGGCTGATGGAGTCTGCCGCCTACAGGGGTGAGACTTAGAGCCTCGTCTGCATAAGACTGTGAATTAGTCATGTGTCCGTCAGTGGGGGAGAGATCCTGGGTCGAGTACCCCAAGTTCCATCTAATTTCTGCCACCCAACCTGCTTCCAAGGGCCTTCTGAGGCTCTGGGTTCCAATTCAGCCCTGCCCCTCTGGTAGTGGTAGGCCTGTCAATACCTGCTCTTGGCTGTTGAATCCTACTCTGAAAAGGGTGATAAGATCTCTTGGCTCTAGTTATGGAGGTTATATGTCCCCAAATTGCTGGTATAGACATGCTAATGAAGACAGCAACACCTCTTCATTCAGGAGTGATTACTTTAAAAGGATAAGCGTGCTTTGCCTTTGTGAAGTTCTGGGTAGCCTTGTCCTTTCTTGTTCACATCTGCCTCCCAGCCTT